CTCTCATGGAGAACACGGGAACCTGTGAAGGCAGAGCCACCTGCTGTGCCAAGTCCATCCTCTCTCATGGAGAACACGGGAACCTGTGAAGGCAGCAGCGACCTTCTGCAGCTCCAGGCCACGGGAGGTTCTGGCAATGAGAACCAGGGTCAAGGTGCCGTCCAGGCCTAGGGCTGCCCCCAGTGAGAGCAGCAAAGGCTTGAGGATGGCAAAAGCTGAGCTGCGGACGCCATGGGAACACGGTGAGAAGCACTGGCAGCCCATCCTTGGCTCAGAGTGGGCACATGGGAGCAGGGCTTGGCTGTTGGTAGGCGTGCTGGGCTGGGAGGGGGAGAGATGAGGGGAGAGGGCAGCAGAGCAAAGGAAGCCCAGGACATGTGAGAAGGCAGGACACCTCGCTCCTGGGGACACCAGGACACCAGCTGTGCCCCTCCCCTCCCAGGAGAGTCTATGTGACCCCTCTTAAGTAAGCCCTGCTTCATGGGCAGCCTCAGGGGCCTTTCCGTGTTCTCCTTCCACACTGGAGAGCAGGACACCCTCCTATGACCGTCACCGTACCTGGCAGTATCACCTCCCCTCGCTGGCTCTCAGCTGCCCCTGGCCCTGGAGGCGCTGGTGAAGCACCACAGCAGGCCCAGGAGCCCACCGTGCTGGAAGCCGAGGCCTCACGCTCCGAGCCATGCAAGATGACACCACGAGGCAGACGGCCACTCTGCTGATCACCCCAGAGACCCTTACCCATCGGCCTCCTCCAAGCCCCCTCACAACACGCTCCAGAAAATTCACAGGAGGAACGGCCACTTATAGGACCCAGGAAAGGGGTTAGTTTCTTTAAACTCCGAGTTTGGAAATTAAACCCACAAGGGCTCTCAGGTTGGAAGCGGAGGAAGCCAGACAAGCCCCAGAAGGGAGCAGAGGGGAAAGGGGGGTCCCGGAGCCTGGCCAGGAAGCAGGACTTACAGAACGTGGGCTGGGAGCAGAGGGAGATGGGAGAGCCAGAAAGGGCCTAGGAACCAGGGGCCGCAGCAGCAGGTGGGAGACAGGTGTAAAGGCCCAGAACTCTGGAAAGCAAACAAGCCTCTAAAGTTTACTTTTCCTGAGATAAAGGAGTCATGCTATGGCCACAGACAATTCAGGCCACGGAGGGGCATGGCGCCTGCCATCATGCCCACCCTGCTCCCCACACATCTCTGCTCCCTTGGTGGCCACCATGTCCGAGCCCACCTTTGTGACAGTCTTGTTGTACAGCCCAGGCTGGCCGCAAAGTTGTACCCTCCGGGTGCGTGGGACCACGGGTGCAGGCCACAACCCCTGGCTCATCTCTTCTTAAGGTCAGAGCTACAACAAAGTCGCTTCTTTGTTCTTGTGACAATGGGCACACAACCTTCCCAAGTCGTTATGCCACGGTGTGACTGGCCACCAGACTCAGGCTGAACCTGCAGTGCCAGGAGCTCAGACTTGGGTGGACCTTCTAAATGCCTTTTGAGTGCTTCCTTCCTGTGAGGATGGCCTTAGGCCTTAGCCTAAGTAAGTCCATTGTAAAATCAAACTTCAGTCTCACCAGGCAAGCCACAGAGCCCAGGTAGGAGAGTGAAGTCGCATGTCATTTGTCATAACCCTGATAAGAGTCAAAAGTGTGATATCAGGGCAGAAACCACCAAACCACATGTCCTGACTCTAAGAATGAAAGTTGTCACTAAGAAACCAGGTAACAGCTGATAGGGACCCAAAGGATGCGCACAAGTTCCAAGATTTAGTATGACTAGCGGAACAAACGGACATTCAGCCAGCTGACACTGACGCACACAGCCGGAGCGCCTGGTGAGCCCCTGGACAGACAGCCCAGCTCTTCTCATCATCTGCCTGACCCTCTCAAACTCTACAGCAGCCTCCTGACCTGGTGAGAACAGGGACCTCTCCTCACACCCTCTCCTCACCACCCGTCAGCTCCACCCCAGGAGAAGCTGTGGGTTCCTGGCCTGGTCAGGGTGAGTGAGTGGGCACCTGCTGGGTTTAAGACCTGAGACTCAAGGCTTTAAACCCAGCACTTAAGCTCAGCATGCAGAGGGAATGTCTGTGATGGGTCTGTCGTGACTAAGGGTGTTTGCAGTGCTTAGAGTTAACTAAGAATTGTTTGCTTTGACCTGATCATGTCTATTGCAGTGCCCAGCATTAAGGATTGTCGTTCCCTAAGAACCTATAGTGAAACTGCATTGAGTGATTTTGAGTGAATAGAGCATTGAAAACGGCAGGAACCTGTGGACTGCAGATGTCGCACTTTGCCCATCGCAACACTTCCTCGGGTGGAGACCTGGGAAAGGATCAGGTCGGAGGCTCGAGAGCTAATGGGAGACGGAGGGCAAGGGCAGTGGGCGGCGAGGTCCTCCCTCCTTACCCTGCCCGGCCAAGGGTGACTTTCTTTTGGATGCCTATGATGTTCACTGTATCCCCACCACCTTCAATGCCTTTTTCCATCCCCAAGCATCTGCTGAAAACCTGAGCGTCTTCGCGGCCCGTGGTGGGACTCCCGCCAGGGAAGCACTGAGTACCCGTCTGTGGTGTTCCACCCCAAAGTCCGGCACCTTCTTGGAAGGGCCCACTTATTAAGGTGGAACATTATTTCTGGACCTTAGCCTCAGGAAAGTCAACTCCAGTTATTAGATCTTAACTTTAACAAATGGAACATTTTTTATCTTTAGAAACTTATGCCCTAAAAATAGTATATCAAACTAAAATAACACGTTCTATCCTAAACACATGAAATTCAACAGCCAAGTTGTCACTGAACGCCCGACGGGACAGGCCACCCGGGCTAAGACACAGCCTCACCTTTCTCAGCTTCTCCGGGGAGAACTCCAGGCCCACGAGGAAGAGACTGAAGAAGACGCCGAACTCTCCCAGGGTCTCCACCTGGACCACGGACTGCAGAGCAAGGCGGAGAGGCTGAGTGAGTCCAGGCCTCCAGGGGAGCCCCCACACCCCCTGGTGCTGGGCCCCGGCAGGAAGCCCCCAACACTGGAACTTCAAAGGGAACAATTCCTGGAATTTCTCCTACATCTGGTCTCCCCCTTGTCTCGATTCACAGAGAAGCATGCTTCTCTCCGCTGTCTGCAAGCTGCTCCGGGCCTCCCCAGCACTGTTGGCTGGCCACCTCTGGGAGGAGGCGGCAGCTCACTGGCGCTGCTCGCTCTTGGCTCCTGTTAGGGCCGAGCAAGTCCCTGCAGATGTATCTCCCCCGAGTTCAACGCCCACATCCACAGTGTTGGTGAACAGCTTCTGTGACTGCTCTGACTCTTCATTTGGTGTTCACTTTAATGTTTTCACTAGGTAAATAAATAGCACAAAATATTTGATGTCTCTCTCCTGGTGACTAACAGTTCAATCCTTTTATTTTATTTTTTTTTTATTTTATTGATACTGGGGATTAAACCTACAGGTGCTTAACCACGGAACCACATTCGCAGACCTGTTTATTTTTTATTTAGAGACAGGGTCTCACTAAGCTGCTGAGGCTATCTTTGAACTTGCCACCCTCCTGCCTCAGCCTCCAGAGATGCTGGGATACAGGTGCCCAGCTCCATCTTTTAGAATGCTCCCGTGGCTCTGTCCTGACCCACTGAGCTGGCCTCACAGGTGAAGACCCCGCCCTGTTGTGACTGGCACCCCGCCTTCTGCCTGTCTCAGCTGCTGAGTGCTCTTGGTGCTCTTCTTGGCGCTGTGGGTGAACCTCAGCTGCCCACAGAGCGCCTCCCTGCACTGGCTGGCAAACCCAGCCCTGCCCTTACCCACGTCCAGCTGCTCTCTCTCACTTCTCGTCCCGTTCCCTGATTGTGCTGTGACTCCAAAACAACAGCCTGAACTCGGGAGTGGAAGCCTGAGCGCCCTGCACAGGGGCCCTCCCCACTCCTACAAGGTGCTCCTGGATGGCCACCTGCAACCACGCCTCCCTCCTCAGTGCCGCAACTTATCGAGATCAGCGTCTGCAGCGCCAGCCCTTGGCCTTGACCCTGCTCCCGCTGTCTTGGCTGAGGAGGAAGAGGGCACCGTGTCTGCCTGGAAGGGTGGGATGAGGCAGGAGGCTCCCGCCTGCAGCCTTCCCTGTGCTGAGCCGCACTCGGTGCCAGTGCAGAAAGCCACACTGCCGGCCCTCTGTGCTGCCAGGGGGCGAGCAGCCTCCATGTGGCCCTGCGTCAGGTCAGCTGACAGCTCCCGGCTGAAGGTGCTGGCAGGCAGCTCTGCAGCTGGCCAGGGCCACCTGCTGCTCAGAGGAGCCCCAAATGGTTCCTCTTCAGACCCTTTCTGCTATGTCGGAAAAATCACTGAGGTTCAAGGTGTACCAGTCACCAGTGGGGGAGCAGGGCTCCTCACCCCCCGGCCCTGGACACACCAGCAAAGCTGGGGGGCGTTTGTGGCTCATCTTTAGCCTCCCGGGATATTGAGTGTGCTCAGATGACACGCTGGGAGGCCACAGGCTTGGGACCCTTCCTTGCTGTCAGAGTGTTCACCTGTGACAAGCACAACTGGTCTGAAGCAGCTCTGGCAAGAGCAGCCCGGCCCGCTGCCCTGGGACGGTGCCACAGGCGCTCCTGGTGCGCGTTCAGGACTGCACAGGAGGGACCCAGCACTTCCAACAGCCTGGCGCCTGAGGACGTCTGGGTGACTGGAAACAGAGCCTTTACGCTAATGACCATGGAGCCAGCGGCTGCCTTCTGCCCAGCGGCCTCTTGGTCGCGGAGGGCAATGCCCCAGCTCTAGGGTGTGTTCCTGGCCTGGGGGGAGGACGGCTCTTCATTGACTCCAGTTCAGAGCTCTCGTCTGTGTGTCTGTCCTGTCCAGTATCAGAGCAGTCAAGTTCTATTCTTACCTTGATGCTGTTCAGTCCTGAAGGCCCCAGAAGCACACCGCAGATGATGTACCCAAACATGGTGGGCAGCCCTATTGCTGTGCACAGCCAGCCACAAGGTAAGGACAGCACGCCTATGGAGACAATGTCCTAGAGCGGAACAGACAAGCACAGATCAAGGGGACGGGTGGGCTGGGATGGCAGGATGACGGCCAGCCCCTTACAGGAACCAGCAGACAACAGGACTGAGAGGTTCTGTACTGCTGTGTCTGCAGCAGAGCGCAGCACACCGTGTCGCGAGCAGACGAGCCAGCTCTGGTTGGTCCTGCTCACGCCCACAGCATGCTCCATCTCTCCCAGCCCTGGACTCCACCCATTCCTGGCCTCAAAGCCCTTGCAGATGGGGTCCTCCCTATCACTCTCTGCTTGTCACCCACACGGGCAAGTCTTTCCCAGGTGTCAGAACCACTGGGTGAGAACTTACTGGGAGCAGGCTGTTCACAGTCTCAAACACATCCCCAGACGCGACTTACTCATCGCATTGGGAGAAAGGGACTGCTGTGAAGGAGGCACTGAGCTGGTCTACGGACATGGCCTGTTCTTTCACAATCAAGGACAGCAGGATGCAGGCCAGCGCCCGGGAGGAGCCCTCTTCCCTGGGAACCGAGGCCCAGCCCCTCTGGTTTCTGTTCCTTGCAAGGCTCTGCCAGGTAAGAGTTCTGTGGAGATCTGAGCTTATCTGATCCCTCCAGGCCCCCTTGGAGGGTGCACTCCACTGCAGACTGGGCCACTTCCTGGGAGGACCTGGAATGCCACGCCCTGTGCCCCAGTCCACACTTCTCTGCCCAAAGGGCTTTCTCTTCTATAGAAAAGAGTTTGTTTTCTTTAACCTCAGGTTATAATTTTAGATGGTGCCTTGCTATGTTGCTAGACTGGTCTTAAACCCCTGGGCTCCAGTGATCCTCCTGCCTCAGTCAACCGCTCAAACAGGTCTCAGACAGCGAGAGTTTAATCCCATGACGGTCACTCTAAACTTCAGAGAGTCCTCCAAATTCCCCAAAACAGAATCAAATTTCATCTTAAATGTCAAAACGCCTTTTTCCTTTAGAAACAATTAACTAAGGGATGCTGTCTCGAAGCCCAGCACGGGAAGCCAGCCTTCTCTGGCAGGAGGAAGGCTGTGCACCACCCCCCTCCGAGGGGCCCCGCGTCAGGTCAGGCCTGCTGACTCCCAGCGAGACGGGCGGGTGGCCTCAGCTTGCCTTTATGAAGTGGTGGTCTGCACGTGGAATGGTGGCGTCCCGGGGCTTCGTGAGGACATACTGGTTGTTCTGGGAGTCGATCAGCATGCTCAAGCCCAGGCCCTCCTCCACATCCCGCTTTGTGATGTTCTGCTTGGAACTGGCCTCTTCCTCCTCCACCCGCAAAACTGCCTCAAAGTTGACCCCTTTGACCTGTGAGAGTGACCAATATCATGCAATCAGAATCATGTTGGTGCTTCTGCAGTCAACATCAAGAGGAAAGAACGTACATCAAGGTGGACGTGTTCACACTGTGTCTAACGAGACAGAAGACCACCAGCATGAAGGCACTCGCTCCATGAAGCGTTTCTGGGCAGAAGCAGCTGCTGCTACTTCCAGACATCCACTTGACCTGATGCAGGGCACACGCTCACACTTGACCCCAGAAACTGAGAATTCAAATACCAGTTTCTGTTTCTTTCTCTCCACCCTTTCGTGGGTCCACCCCTAGACCCACAGCCCGTTCTCCGCTGGCCTTGATCTCGCCCCAGGGTCTCAGCCTGTCAGAACTGAGCAGCTGGAACCTGCTGCCTCTGACGAGGAAGGAACCCTCCAAGCCTCCCGAGGCCACAGTCCCAAGCCCCGTGAGTGGCCAAGCTGGGCTGGCAGTGAGTGCCAGGGGGCGAAGGAGCAGGTTGGCTGCCCACTCCTGCAGCCCTGCCAGAGCACCCGCGTGTCGCTCGCAGACCCCGAGTCACAGCCGCACCGATGGCCAGGCCCAGCAGCACGGCTCGCAGGGCAGAGGTGCCGGAAGGCGGCTTACTGATTTGTTGTCATCGAAGGCATGCTCCTCTATCTCCTCCTCTAAGCGATCTGCCGCCCTCCTCACGTCCTCCAGGATCTCATCCAGCATGGAGAGGCTCTTGTTCTGATGCTGCATGTGCTTAAGGGCTTCCACCTGATGTTTTTCTGCGGCGAGAAGTTCCACATACTCGGTCTCTTCCTATTTGTTCGTAGGAAAGGGCAAGATACATTACAAGAAAAACCAGGAGGGGACTCATCTGCTCAGGGTCCTGGTGACTAGACCCACCAGCGGTGCTCCAGGTCAATGCCCCACCGCTGCTCAGTGACCGACTGTCCAGCAAGGGAGGTCAAGCATCCCAAACACAGGGAGCTTCGGAATGTGCAGGGATAGCATCTGCACCTCCACCCCTGGGAAGGCAGTGTCCACTG